CCCCAAAACCCCAAAACCCCAAAACCCCAAAACCCCATTATCTCAATTAATTGGATTTTCTAAAGTTAATTTTTTTAATTACATTAATTGGAAAATAAAAAATAAAAATGCAAACAAATGACTCAGTGTCATCTAATGATGACTCCCCATAGAGATATAGAATGCAAAGAAAACCAAGATTAGCTACCTTACAAGCACCATCTACTCATTTATCTCCTCCAAGATTAGAATCAAGTACAAATTACTCTCTAAACTTTAGCAAAAAGTATAATAATAACTAGCAAAGGCACTCATTCAAGTCCAATTTCAGAAATGAGTTATCTATTGATGAAGAGTATATTTAAATACAATCAAATGATAAGACCTCTTACTCGAAATTTGCAAGAAATAAAAGATTGATAAATCAAACTGTAGATGAAACAATGAACAACAGTGATTACAATATGGAGAGTAAAAAGAGTTTGGATGTATCCATAATGAATGTCCCTCAATTTTCAAGAAATAATCGGTATGCTCTTCCCAGCATTGCAAATGCTTGAGGAAGCTAAATAAACATTACTAGTCTAGAAAACAAGGATATAATAAAATCTATGGATTATACTGAGCATCGTAGAGTCTCCTATACTCAAATGAAAAACCCAAAAGATGATCTTAACTTTCAAGCAAATAGCTTTAAGATTAAAAAATCCAATATCAATAATATCATGGTAGATAATTAGAGATAATAAATTGACTCATTTCTTATGAATGAAAGGAATGACCTTGGATTAAAATAATAGTTTTAATAGCTTTAAGAATAAATAAAGAGTTTTCAAAATAAATAACTACCTCATAATAAATCGATTATAAAATTAGAGGATTCTCCGAAAAAAGTGACTCCACGTGGGTCTCAAAATAGATTGCTAATTTCTCCTAAGAAGTAAAAAGGAGAGAATAGCAATTATTAATCTAATACAAATCTTAGGCAGATTATATTGAATCAGCAACTAACTAGTAAAGTTAAAGAAGCTATTAGAGATACTTCACAGAAGTATATTCCTCGATCTATTAATAAGAGTGAAATGCAAAATCAAGTAAATGAAATGCATACTATTCTTGTTGCTAAAGATTAACTTGATGAATTAGACTATCTTAAAAAAGATTACTTTAATGCTGTTTTAGCTATTCAATAGGAATGTGTAAAAAACTTTAATCTTAGATTTAAAGAAAGAACAATGGAATCACTAAGTAAACTCTCAGAGATGGCTGCTTATGCCTATGATATGGATATCCTCAAAGAAGTTTCACTAGTACAAGGAATGGTTTCATCATTCTTTGGAAACTGGTCTGATGCTGTTAAATTTTACAAAAATTGTGTAATAACTCATTTAAATAACCATTTTCAGAGAGATCTTGCTGACGAGATATAAAGTGTAGAAGATAAAAAAATAGCATATAGAAATATGGGGAGATGCTATTAGGAGCTTAAAAATTTCAAGTGTGCAATTAGAGCTTATAAAAAGCTGCTTGAAAATGCTTGGTAAATATTTTAGTTTTCATTATTATAGGGATTCTAATGATTTTGAAGCTGAAATTCATTCTTATGAGGGATTAGGTACATAGTACTATTATCTGGGAGATTTAAAAAGGTCCTCTTATTATATGGACAGAATGATGAGAGGCAAAATTGAAAAGAAGGATTCAAAAATCAGAGAAATTTATCTATCCTAACTAAAATATAGAAGACAAGACAAATCGAAGAAAAGCGTCAATTTTCTATAAGTGAGAGAGATCGCTGAAAAGCTGGAGAATATTAAATAAACAGCAAGTAGACATGGATAAAGGAAGAGATTAAATTCAGATAATAATGGTTAGTAGAAATCTCTAAGTTCACTTAAACTTAGTCAGTCGATTGCTAAAAACAACGATTCAGTCTTAGCTAATGGTTTCACAGATATTTCATCATATTATCAGAATGCTTTTACCCACGATAGATAACCTATGTAAGTAAGACCAGGTACCCCAATTTCTGATGCCAAATCAAATGATTTTCCCTCACCTAGAATCGGATTCGCAGAGAATGATGGAAATAGTAAGAACTATGATGTACTTCCAAACTTTACAGAGGATAAAGACGGAGTACGAATAGATTCATCTTAATATTTGAATGAAAGCTTTAAGAGTATTCACAGATAAAAGAATCTAAAGAAGGTTATACCTCTAAAACATTCCCATAAAGGTGGTGATGAGGGATCTTTAGAGATATTGGTGGATACTAAAGGTAATAAAAATAGGATTTTAAGTATTTATAGGTAAGACATACACAAAGAATAGAATGCTTAAACCAGATGAGGAGGAGCAGAGGCTCCATGATATTTAGAATTGGAAGCTGGATATGACTGAAATTATAAGAAGAGCTAAAAAATCAGGATTAAGTGGTCATGTAGGGGATAGTTTGGCATAAGTTAATATTACTCATCTAAATCCTTTGAAAAGCTAGACTTCAGTCAAGCATAGCATAGATGTATCATACTTTGAATTTATCTTAATTCTAAATTTAGGCAAAGAGCAAGGACACAATTTAGAAATTAGGGGATCTTGAGAGTATGGTAAACAAGTAGATGAAACTTATTGATTATCAACCTATCCATGTTGATTATTTGAATGACGAGCATTTACTAAAAATAACAAGAAATATTAGTGAGAACTAGTCCAAATCATATAGTCATCATCTTAGAAATCAGCCAAGCCAAAATCAGTTATTATCATTTTAGAGATAGATTAGCCCTTCAAAAATGGATTCAAATTCTCCATCACAAAATGTCAACTCTCTTGCAAATTTAAATCCAAAAGTTGAATGCCTAGCTTTTTTGAATAATCCAAAGAATTTTAAACTAAAGAGATTTAATGAGAAGTTGAACCTTGCAATCAAGGACCTAGTAACTACTAGTAGTAGTAATAATAATAATGCTAGCCAAAGTAATTTTCCCACGAAGTAGCTGCCTACATCTTTAGGCTTAATTAAATCAGTTGAGAATGCTATTGAGTAAAAAACAAAATTCAGAATAAACAGGAAAATAATTAAGCACAGTAATAAAGACTGAGGAAATTTAGATTATTATAGTTTCATTTTGCTTTTGATTTGATAATATTATTCTCTACTATTGTGAGCCAACTTTATTATTTTAGAATTATGGGGTTTTGGGGTTTTGGGGTTTTGGGG